TGTCATGCATGATCAAATCCAGGCTGTCTTGATGCTGTGTCTGTTTGTTGACATCAGTGTTCAACGATGGGTTTGTGGGTCCAGACGTAACCTTTCCTACCAGCAGGGAGAGCTGGTTTTTTTAACTCAACCCTCGCTATATACAGGGTATGCTGTATGCTTCTCTCGAGGGTAATATGGTCTGGTGTACGCCTCTTTGTAGCAGTGTTACCCAAGCCGGTAGACGGTGGGCTATATACATGTATAATTAACATCAGGGGCCATGTGTACAAAGCTGTCTTAGCTGTTAGTGTTATGTTGACTGCAAAGATCACTTTGTGCAAGATGGACGAGATCTGGGTAAGACATCCGCCCGTATCCCCCCTAAATTTTAATGATGAGGAAACGTGTCTTTGAGTGGCATTTTTAGAAGTTGGATATGTCTTTCAGTGTGTTCAGATACAACTAAAGAAACATGTTAAAACTCATCCTTATCAGATGAGGAATATATATTCAGGTGATATGATTTGACTAGAATGAAATTGAAAGGGGGATACGGGCGGAAGTGTTTCCGAGATCTGTAAGCAAAGCTGCTGCCTCTGTCTCTAATCAGAGTGAGAATCTGAATTAGAAAAGGCTGCACCACTGAATGGATTCACTGGAGTATATTACGTTACATGGAGGATATTACAGACCAATTTTATATCTTGTTTTACGGATCCGCCTGTAATATTTTTTAAAGAATAAGAAAAAAAAAAAAAATTGATTTTCCCCGCTCAAAAGAATAAATCCTAATGATTTTATTAGGCAAAACTGTAAACATTCAATAAAAACAATTTTAGATTGTTTTTTGCCCCATATACACTTCATAAATTGCCAAAAGTAAAATACTTTGAGTATTTAGAAGGAATAGTACTTTGACTGGTGACTTTATTTTATTTTTTTTTTTTTCCTCCTGCCTTTAGGTTTTCTGAGGACCAAAATCCATAAAACAAAAAATAAAATTGGTCTAGCCTAAGGGTAATATTACTGTTATACAGTTACAGTTCAGTGGATGCTATTGGCCCAGTTTGGTTTCCCCCCAACTAGAGTGTTTTATTTGGCTGATGTCTTGCCAAAATCACATCCAACTTTGTACTTACCATGTTTCAATAAGTTCAAATCAAGAATAGTTCATTACAACTTATGTAAAAGTTTAAAGTAGCTAATACATTAAAACATCATGTCCACAGATTCAGTGCAGTTGTTGATATTGAATTACACAATACGATACTAGCAAGCAAAAGAAAGTTGTTATATTTTTTGCTCGCTAGTTTAGCTTCTACAATACATAGGTTGGAAGCTTAACTGGGATCATGACATCAAGCCAGATCTAGGTATGGAAGTCCCAAGAAGCTTGTTGATTTGAGACACCATCAGACAGCCCCTGTGGTCAGGCATTGAGCATCCTCGATAATCTCCAGGGTATACGTTTCGATAAATCTCCACTATACCCTGGATGCATCATCGGCTCGAGCCTTAGATGCATCCAGGGTATAGTGGAGATTTATCGGAACGTATACCCTGAGATTATCGAGGATGGGCATTGAGCAGCCTTGGTGTTTGTGTCTTTGTGTTCAGCACAAGCCGTGTTGAGGACATTGTGTTATATATAAGGTGTACATATTTGTGCAATATCGGAAGTATATATACATTTGCAGTTGTTACATTGTTGGCTATTGCTACAATCTGAATAACATGTATTTCTGAAAGTATTACCTTCTTGTCAAACTGTCTAGCCGTAGGATTTAACATTATAGCTTTCTATAGTCTTGAGATTCATCAGGGATAAAGGTTCTATTCTTCAGTGTGTTGAATGGTGTATACATGGATCTTAGTGCCACAGTTACACCAACAGCTATACTTTCACTGTCCAACTGACTGCACTGCTGAGCAGGGCTCAGGCGTTGAATTCTGAATAATCAATTAATATTAACTTAAATGTGCTTTTTCAAATGGTAAATTACACCAGCAAATGAATTACTTTTTGACATGGAGATATTGCATCTTTGGACTTGCCCGTCTCAGAGAAAATCTGCAATTCCATGTTTGCAAAGGTTTATCACAGAAATGCAGAAAGATCACAGAAGTTTCTTCTGTTCATTCAGTCAATACATTAACTTTTGTGATGAAGATTTTACTTGAGAATTTTTTGTTTTAGCAGCACAAATCGTCTTGGATTGACTAGTGTCCAACTTGCAAGGAGAGCAGACAGGCCAAATCTTTGTCCATGTTTAAGACGATTTGACGTCCAATATTATATTTTGGCAAGGACTCCAGAATTCATCAGTTAAAGGTAGCCATCACAGGCTGGAAAACCTTAAAGTAATGTGATCTATATATACTAGTCACACTTTGCTAAGGATCAAATCATGGATTCAACAGAAAACTATGATGTCAAATTTGGTTTAAATATCTAAGCTATTGTAAGCATGGATTCTAGGTTTCAGTATCTCACTGCATCTTGTGGATCCCGTACTTGCTATTGACAGGTGTTGTGGGCTGGTTGATGGGTGCCATGAAAACCATTTTTATGGTTACTCATGTATCAAGTGCATAAAGTTAGATTAAAGTGACTGTTTGCCTAAAGAGGGGTTACCATATTATTATTTATCCAGTTTGAAATGGTTACAATTTCAAATTATAAATCTACGTTTAAGTAAAGTTATTAATTTTTGTGATCCTTACCAAAGTGTGAGTAGTATATATATCCCTCAAAAGAGTTGAATAGCACCTGTTTCTTCAATATCACCATCATTAATGTATTATCCTGTAACAAATGAACTAGTCATAAAAAAGATTGCTGGTCTTTTAAACTTTTTGGAGTTGTCTAATTATGTTGCAGTGAAATTCATTTCTGCACGACACCACTAGACGTGATGTGTCAAGAAAACAGATGCTGAAGGGTAGCTTGACAGCATAAGCCTTGATCGGGAATATGCAGCAATTCGAATTAGTGGTTGATGACTACCTTCAACAGCATTCTCCATGTTAATGTTTCAGGTTCCTTGTAATATATGTACAGTACAGCACATTGTTTCTTTGGATGTGTGTTTGTTGTAGTCGTGCCGCTTCTCTGCTCATGCTCTAAGTGTATTTGCACCTTCACGGTGGAGAGCTACAGGGACCATCCTCGATGTGACAGTGTACGATTGTGCTCATGCTGACTGACAGTTGTACACACACTGGGTCATGTAGGTCTAAAGTATCTATGCAACTTCCCTAAACCCTGTTACAGTGTAGTGGAGTGTGGAAACAGGAATAAAATGTCCAATAAATGCTGTTGTGTCTTGTTGTTTATATAACATGTGAGAACTGGTCTTCAGCAACCCATGCTTGCTGTAAGAAGTGACTAACGGGATCGGGTTGTCAGACTTGTTGACCCATGTCATCATATCCCAATTACGTAGATCAATGCTCATGATGTCAATCACTGGATTGTCTGGTCCAGATTTGATTATTTACAGACTGTCATCAGATAGCTTGAATACTGACCTCCTGATAGTAGCCTCTTACGACAAGCTTTTATTTCTTAGAATTATGCATGTCCTATAGGCAAGAAGGGGACATAACCCTATGCAGTTTCAATAGGATATTTGAAGATGATTGTGCCAATCAACACGATCATGAAATATGAGCTGGGATTAATTAACAATATTCAAGTTTTATCATGGCATGTCAGCCTGGCTTGGGAGGAAAGCCTTAGTGATGCAGGCCTCAGACATATACAATTTAGTGGTGACTATTGAGGGGGAAAGAACCATTGCGATAGTGATAGTCTATTGCGACCAGCTATTGCAATAGTTTTTTTCTCTTTGAAGTCATTTCCCAACTGAATGTATAGTTTACATGAAATAAAAACAAGTTGAAGTAGTTTCAGGCTCTTTAATAGCTGCGGGAATCGGGTGGTCAGGCTCGCTGACTTGGTTGACAAATGTTATCGGTTCCCAATGGCGCATGTGAGTTTAGTTTTAGCCGCAGTCAGCAATATTCCAGCTATATGGCGGCAGTCTGTAAATAATTTGAGTCTAGACCAGTCAATCCAGTGATCAACAGCATGAGCATCGATCTGCGCTATTGGGAACCGGTGACGTGCCAACCAAGTCAGCGAGCCTGACCACCCGATCCCATTAGTCACCTCTTACAAGCATGGGTTACTGAAGATCAATATTCTAACCCGAACCTTCACGAGTTGTTATTACCAATGACCCACATGACATGGCATGCAGTCGACTAAGTCACTGATCCGTGATCACCTCACACGTCAAGCACAGGTTGGTGAGAGTGAAACTTCTTACACAGAATCCTCACTGGGATCATTTCACTACATGTTACAGATCATGTGCTCTGTATAAACAGCGATTGATCATTCAGGATCAGATGGTACCAGCAGATGGAGTCAGTAAGCAAGCCTGAGACCAGTGATGAGCACAGCCACTGCAGGGATCCATACCATCTGTACATAGATTTATTGATCAGAATTGTACTGTTAAACAGAAAACATTCACACACATGGGCAGCAGCTTGGACAGGGACTTGCAAGGCTATGCCTAGAGCCAATGGTCATTAATGCCATGCTATGAATCAACACATTATTTCATTTATCAAATCAGCCTGTAGATCCTCCAGTCTGGACCTGACAATCCAGTGATTGAACATGAACAACATCATGTGCTGTATAGGTACAGTGACAAGCCATCACCAAGCCTGAATCCCTGATTAAATCAGTCTCATTGACAACCAGGTTGCAAAGGACAAACTCTAATCTGGAATCCCCATTGGTCAAAATTATAAGAGGTATCAAATTGACAGTCGGACTACCTCAAATTTTAAATCACAGATTAATCTCCAAAACTTCTAGCAAGATGTCCATGTCATCAACCGTCCGATAATTTGGGATTACACTTGGTACATAGGTCCACCACATTAGAACATTCCAAGGGGACCACAGGTGGTGATAAATGTAACAAATATTACTCAAGTTCTAGATAAAATCATTTTATTCTTGATTGGTTTGAAATACAGGTTCTTTTCAATAGGAAGTCGTTTTATTTGTATTTCCTTCAGTAAATGCTGGAACACTTGTTAATATACAATATCTTTATTCCCCAACTTGTTTCTATTGGTGCTTTTTTGTGTGATAATTGCTATGCACTCAATCTCAGCAGTGCTGAAAGCAACTATAAATTATGAATAATTACTGACATTTTTTAGCCGATCACGTGGCATTGAAAGACATGAAAAACTGGGATTTTGGGGGGCCAGTCAGTTTCTTAATTTCATGTTATTCAATGCCAGCAAGTAAAAGAAGGGTGACTGCTGAGATTTGTCAAAGTTTTTGCAAGAGACGAGTATTTTCTGGATGTAGCTGATAATACTATTTCCCTGAACGAACAGGACATGAAAGACTACCAGTCTCATACCGGTCATATGTTGGATTGAATCACAACCAAGTGAGTGAAGATTTTACCTTGCATCGACATTATTTCAGCCAAATAGTGATGACAAAATCATGATCAACACCATGGTGTGTTTTTTCTCTCATGTATGTGGTTGTGATAAACTTGTGCCACTCATCCTCAACCTAGACCGGCGAAATATCACAAGTGATCTTCCTCTACACTCTGTCTACAAAATACTGTATCAGATGAACCGAAACATTCATTTTTCTTATTTTCTTGACATCTCCCTATCCAATAGGCTTGTAGGAAGTCAATACATCCAACCCCAACAATTTAGAAGCATCCCCATAAAAAGACTGTTCACACCAACAAACTCTTGGTCCTGCAACATAAATCGGGTATTACTTCATTTTTTTCAGTTCCATTTACCCTCTAATTTGTTTTATTTTTCTTCTTTCGAATCCAGGTCTTCTGCATGATGAGCAAACACTTTAACCACTAGGCTACCCCACTGCCCCAGTGCATTTATGACTGGCTTCACATACATAACAGCTTTTGAATGTGCCCTTCATATACTGGGGCTACAACCCTTTAAGTGGGGGTTACACTGGCCAAACTGAATAAACTTTTATCTATCGTCTATTTCAGCAGTGGTATGTATTTTAAAGAAAGTGATTAATTTTCTTGTGGACCAGAAAGGATCCTGCAAGTGAAATGAGTGTTCTAGTTATGAGTCTCTGGATGCTTGAACGGAAGCGCCGCTTTCCCCCGAGAGGAGTTCGAAGTGGATTCCAACGCCGCTTTCCCCCGAGAAGAGTTCGGAGTTGATTCCAGCGCCGCTTCCCCGAGAGGAGTTAGGAGTTGATTCCAGCGCCGCTTTCCCCCGAGAGCAGTTAGGAGTGGATTCCAGCGCCGCTTTCCCCCGAGAGGAGTTCGGAGTGGATTCCAGAGTCTGGACCAGAGGATGGTTTCCCGAGGGATGGGAGATGATTTGTGTTGTGTGATGTGATGGTGGCTTGGGTTATTTCTTCCTGCCCCTCTTGACCACCTCCCAGCCATCCTCCACCTCCATATCTTCCCCATCTGTAAACAGGTCAGTACATGAGTCGGGGGTTACTATCCACTGACCAGCTCAGTCCCATAGCTTAGTGTAATGAGTGAGCATGGTTATACACCACTTTATCAATATTCATGATATATATTGGAAAAACAATGAGCTTCACACATAATACCCATGTGGGGACTCGAACCCAAGTTATAACCTCGCGTAATCAATATTCACGCACCTAACACATTTCGGCACGGTACACAACAGACACACAAGTGCATCTATGTTGCTATGTAAATGCAATAATCTTGAACACAACAAACACTAGTTCACCTCTAGCTGACAAAATTATACTTTCAGGACACACAATGACTTAAATGAGACAATTTTCTTTCATATACGTTAGAATCCAACCACACCACTTCATGTCTCTGCACCTACCTGTGTTATTCTGCTGTGCAGGTTGTACAGGGTGTGCAGGGGCCGACTGAGACCCTGCAGCCCTCACAGCATTACCACCACTGCAGCATGCCATCGCCTCACCATTCTGACAAGAGAAAACTGAATGAACACACAAGCGAATATTTCTAAATCTATCACTCAAATCACACAGTAAATCCATATTGTTCAAAACTTGTGAAATAGTTAATACACATCTTACAAAGCCTGCTTATTACCAAGTTTTCTACTGTCATGACTGACTGACTGACTGAGTTTGGTTTTATGCCGCTTTTAGCAATATTCCAGCAATATCACGGCGGGGGACACCAGAAATGGGCTTAACACATTGTGCCCATGTGGGGAATCGAACCCGGGTCTTCGGCGTGACGAGCCAACGCTTTAACCACTAGGCTACCCCACCGCCCCTCTGCTGTCATGACCCATGAAGATCCAGTTTAGATTAATCTTCAGTAACCCATGCTTGTCATAACAGGAAGTGGGTGGTCAGACTAGCCAACTTGGTTGACACGTCCTTGTATCCCAATTGCATAGACCGATACTCATGCTGTTGATCATCACTGGATTGTCTGGTAAAGTGTAAATGGTTGGTGACCCCCCTGGTGGTACTGACCTCTGCCTCCTCCCCATCCACCTCCTGGTTGCTGTCTCCCTGGGTGCAGCCTTGTAAGGCGGCTTTGGGCTGGCTGGCTATACTCTGACGCACCTCAGCCTCCAGTCCCTCCCTGCATAGTCGATAGTACTTGCAGATCATCTGAGCCACCTGATCACACACAAACACACTGCGATTAAAACAAAAACTTGAGCAAGTGTTTATTCAACATATGATGCATAGTGTTATCAATGCAAGAAGCACCTGATAAATCAGTCCAATAATTTTGATATCACAGTCCAATATGGATGCACATTATCGAGCCGCAGGGGCGGATACAGCTTTTTGAGAAAGGGGATGCACACTCTTAAGAGTGAGTGAGTGAGGGGGGGTTGCACACACCCCTGCACCCCTTTCTGGATCCCCTTTCTGGATTTTGGATGCAAACTTGGATGCATGAAATTTGCATGTACAATCAGTATCACTGGATCCCAATGTATCAGATACCCGAATCTCAATATTTAGCGATAACATTTTGTGGCCAGTACACAGCCCGTGGCACCATGGTTTGTTTGTTGTTTAATGTCGCACTCAGCAATATTTCAGCTATATGGTGTGGTCTGTAAATAATCGAATCAGGAACAGGCAGTCCACAGATCAACAGCATGAGCATTGATCTATACAGCTGGGATAAGATGACATGTGTCAACCCAATCAGCGAGCCTGACCACCCTATCCTGTTGGTCGCCTTTTACAACAAGCATGGGTTGCTGAAGATCAATTCTAACTCGGATCTTCACATGTATCATCACCATGGTAATAGATACGACCTACATGCTACATACCTGTGGTAAGCTGTTGTCGTCTATGACCATATCAAACTCAGCATTCATCACATCTGTCAAGAAGTCCTCTAACTCGTCACTCTGTATATTTGCTGCAAACAAACATTGGATATTTGTAAGAATTATTTCATCTTGACACCAGAAGTGGGTTTCAAGGTGAAACTTAATACAATGAAAAGCAGAAGAGAACTGTGTTATAGTTTTGTGTGCGACCTGAAGAACTGATTAATACCATGTATACAGACAATGACAGTTACCATTTTCCTTAAACCATGTTTCAATTGCATAAACCATCCACTCTGCCTTTTCCTGACTGTCAGGTCCACCAAACCCATGACTTACAGCCAGCTGAAAACAAAAACATTTTTCATTACTCAAAACTCATTAAAGGTCACATGCAACGTAAAACACAACTTTGCAGATTCTGATACCTTTCGGTATGGACATACCGAAACAAAGCGTCAAAAATGCAAATTCAACTTATAAAGTTGAAAATACGCGATGAAAAAAAACGCGCGAAATCGGAGTTCAAACGTTTTCACTAATTTTCCCCAGACTTTTCTGGGGAATAAGGGGTTTCAACAGATGGGCTGGCGCCATAGCACGCAAAGAGTGAAATAGGTTCACGCGCTTGGGCCGGGCTGTCTGGTGAATACTCGGTGAAGGCTTTGGTGTGAGCTATTTTCCTAATGTTTTGTTGATATCTCACAGGCTGAAGCTTTTATATGTTATGACAGTAAATAAACTGTTAATAATTTCATTTGTCTATTTCACCACACGTTCTTCTTACCGAGTCACTTTCTCAGTTCGATACTTAAAAGCAATGTCATTATTTAGCGTTGACACAATTTCTAACTGTGATATAGATATGTCGCCGTCACAGACAAAACTCAATGTCTTGTTTTATTGACACCTGTGTGTCTGCCTGCCTGTCTGCTAATGACAATATTCAATACACAACTGCGATCACTGACCACATGCATTTTGAACTTAACACCAATCAGGCTATACACCATAAACAAAACGCGTTGATTTATGGCCCGAAGTTCGGTCTCTGTCACATTATGTAATTACACAGACAGGCAGGTGTGATACTTGAACACATGACATGTTATGATGTCTGTTGATTGCAAAATGTTATACACAAAAAATGAGCATGTATTTACAAAACCCAACATCTCTATATATACACACACAATGAGCCGTGAAGGCGGCATCTGCTAATGAACCAGCCATTACACTTGAGTGCACACCCACCCGCTGTGACTGGGTTCGGTATCCCGGCTGCTTCGTTTCTAGGGCGGTAAACCCAAGTACAAAATATTGCACTTTTGATTTGCGATTATACGCTTATAATTTTGTTTATTTGTTTTTTCATAATCAGCAATGCATATTATATGTCATGAAGAAGTGATAATTGTGTTTTAACTTAATTATGTTTGATTTTTTGGTTGCATGTGACCTTTAACCGTTTTTTAATAAAATTCTCTCGGAGTAAAAACGGGTCCATACTTTGAATAAATACCCTACACATTCCATACACTACTCAGTTTTTAACATGTTTAATGGCTACACTCTCAGTGATCTAGCAGGCGCCATTTTAATCATCCCATGTAATCACCAATTAGTCTCAGAGACCTAACAAACTGGGCTTTGGACCAGCTATGACCGACCTCGTTGACAAGGAGGAATCCGTTTGAATCTTTAGATTTGGTTGAATGATGTCTACTGAAACTTTTCACCTTGCAAATCCATCTGCATGTGTAAGGGTGTATTACAATTGTGCAGCTTAGTGTACAGCAATATGTGTACATAATATTTTTCCAACGTTGAAGTTCAACGTTCATTTCAAAAACTCCAAACAGTGACAACCCATATCTTTGGTGCAAATTTCATTTAACACAACAATTATTACTTCATTCATCTCGTCCATTTTTACACCTCACTCCTGTGTATCCATCATCATTCACTAGAATGGCTTCTGCTCTTTATTGCATCGCAATAAATGCAGTGTATGAAATAAGGCCCGTCCGACCGCCCAAGACGGGCTAGATTTCTGACGGACAGTCTAGATTTACAGCTAGCCAGTCCAATGGTCTGGTAAATGTTTTAGATGTTCTATACATCTGAGTAAATTCACCATATCTTGCTTGGTGTCTGGTCTGGTTAAATCCATTCTGGGCTGGTAACATTTTGAAGTTACCAGCCCTGATGTCTGACTGGGTTTTTGGCTTATTTCATACACTGATAAATGACACCACCACCCAAAGCCACACTAAATAAATGCCACTACCCATAGCACAGCAAGAACAGCATTGGAAACAAGTCTAAGCAGTTAAGATTATAGCCCACAATAAGAACATTTTGAATCCGCAAAGAAAATGCAGATCCATACCACAATACCTTCAAAATTAGAATGTTGTTTCCTTCTAAAAATAACACACTGAAATTATTTCCAAAGATTTAATATTATTTTTCATGAACTTGTGTGGGTAGTTAACTGCAGTGAATTACTTTTGTAGAAACTTAGCCAAAACACACACAAAAATACATGGTAAGCCTTTCAAGATGTCACGAACTTAGAAGACACACGAAGTAAAGATACCCTAAACCCAATATGCAGATAGATCCTGACTGACATTCCTTGAAATGTCAGTTAACCCTTTGTGTGTACGATCGCGTGTGTGTTATCAGATTGTATATATCAGCTCAGCGTGTAAATAAGGTCCATCTAACCTGAAGTGCTGTCCACCCGTCGAGCACACTTTTAACCGACTGGCCGAACAACGTGCTCACATAGGGCGACGCCATCTTGAAATTCGTAATGCATTGTGGGATGAAAACAATGTCACGTGAATGGAAATGTACACCGCGCGCTGAATACAAATGTTGATAAGATAAGACAGCCTATGTTACCTACACGAGGTAGAAGGAATGTATACAATGACTGAAGGGGTCGATGTCGGCACAGGTACTACCAGGGATAATCTTCAGCGATATGTACCCCAGGTACATTCCTGTATAGAGAAATGTCACTTAGTAGACAAATACAGAAACGTACCCATATTCCGCAACCAAATACCCGACCCGTTTGAAGTTGTTCCCGTTCAACTGATTGCGAGTGGCATTGTGCATCACGAAATATTCGATAAGTATGTATGGTCGTCTCTTATCTAACGCAATAAAATACATCTAATGCAATTAATTCCGATCAAGAAAACGACACAGTGCGGAATGGACCCGTCTTAGGATACGGTTCTGTATTCAGATTTTGGCTAGAGTACGTGGGGTACACATCTGTAGTACCCGTGCCGACAACTACCCCTTCAACTATACAATGCGGGTCGGAAACATTCAGAGCCAAATTCCTGAGCCCGAGACGGCCATACCTTCGCACCATGTCAGTCATGCCTTCGTGACAGAAAATGATTACATGTGAGACAGACGCATGATTCGGGTTAGCAGGATTCAACAAAGACAATATTATATCCGGTAGTTGACTACTGAAGTACGACGAGGCGTGGGTACTTACCTTGAAAATGAAGTCGTGCATTCATCTTGTTTGAAACAGACAATGACGTTGATATCCTTGCTTAAAGCCTACTTTCCTATTTTTCGTCAGTAAAAAACGAGTCTTGACCACACAATCCAGTGGCTGATATGAACATGGAATACACAAACTTTAGGAGCATATTTAATATTAACACCAAAGAATTAAATCCAAATTTGACCCGGGTTAAAACTGATCTTCAGTAACCCATGCTTGTCGTAAGAGGGAGCCTGATCGGGTGGTCAGGCTCGCTGACTGGATTCACACACGCCATCGTATCCCAATTGCGTAGATCGATGTTCATGCTGTTGATCCCTGGATTGTCTTGTCCAGACTCGATTATTTACAAACCGCCGACATATAGCTGGAATATTGCTGAGTGCGGCGTAAAACTAAACTCACTCACTCATCCTTTCTTACTTCTGCTGTAAGTAAAAGCTGAATCGTTACTCCTATCTCAAACACCAATATATATATAGTATATTTACATGGATTACCCACTGATTTGTTTTATCGTTTATCGTTTTTATTGCTTTTACTTAATACGATGAGGATGCAAAAAATAATAACATTTAAAATGTCTTGCTTCTTACATATTGCACTTGTGTAAACAGACATGAACGTTAACAATTGTGTCGTTCACATGAGAACAAAACCACAAGTTGTATGTTAACCTGCAGTTTGGATATACCCAAAACGAAACCCTAAAACGTTTAGAATTATTTTACTTTAAAAGTAAACGTGCTCTGGCGAGTATTTAAATCCTTTCAAAATCTATTCCCCACATGGGTCGGTATCTACACAGGATTGCTATGAGGGCAGGGACACAGGTCCTATCCCCCATTCCGGAATCACCATCAAGGTCCCCTACCCCAGTCAGCGGTGAGTCTGTGGACGTGGTCAAACACAAAGAAGTATTAATTCAGTATTTAGCTTCAACTGAAAGACTGACACAAATTTAGTTTGTAAAAATACTCTGAACTGTATGTATTGATGAATTTATTCTGTATTTTTGTAAAGAGAGGGATGAGTGAGCTCTTGGGATTTGTTTTCAGTCAAGTAGCCAATAATGAAATGCAAGTAATAAACACAAAACAAAAACACGAAGGAAATTCAAATTAAATAAATGTTTCTATTTTTATTCTTACAAATATACAATTTTTACAGTTTCAAGTATTTACTGTTGCAGAAAAACGACATTGAAAGGAACGTGTTTCTACCATCGATAGTCTCAAAGTTGATGTGAATAATGTCTTCCCCATCGAGTATTAAACACCCACCAGAGTTAACTGGAAGAGTACTGGTAATGTACACGCCATCTTCAACTTCTTTAAGTTCGTTTTCAGAAACACTTGTAAGAAAACGACGGACATCATAGCTCAGACAAAAGTCATATTCATGGAAAGCGTCAATGATGTTTCCATTCGTTACTACTCGAGTCATTCCGGCATCTTGTAGGTCACGGAAAGAGGCGAGTAGTTACGAATGTGATGTTTCTTCAACTATGTTGCCATTGTACTGCCAGTCCAAGATGGAGAGGTGATGTAACCTTCTGACCAAGCGGCACTATGCACACAGCTATTGACAGGACCTTCCTCTGAACATCCTCTGTATCCATCACTGTCAATAAATATAGGCAACAATGTAACTAACGAGGATGGCAACAGTTGCAAGACTCCTTCCCAAGTTCACGTGGCGTTGGATTGCCTTGTTCCGTTGTGATGCCAGACATTCATTCATCCCTTACAATCGAGCCTGCTTGATGTATTCCTTGTTGGTATGACACTGGGTAGCTGAATTTCCTCGTTCAATCTTTGATGTGTTATGTTATTGTTTCCATTCTGCAGCTGCTTTTATATCATGTTGAAGAGATATCTTGCTCCTCATTAGAAGATATGTTGAAATAATTGGTGGCATTTTTCACTGAATCCAGCTTCAATTGTGTTGTATTTTGTACCGACAAGAAGAGAAATCACAAACAAATACATTGCTAAATCGTTTTATTGCCGTGTTCACTGTGCCAGTAAAGAAAATATTCTGATTACCACTCAACCCCATAGCTAGCAACGAATAGTTGTACTATTCAAGAGGCTATAAAGTTTTTTTCCAACAATGTGTAGTCTGAGCCAATATGCACAACATGTTGACATAATCAACACTAGCATTTGTCCACCAAGGTGACCCTTACTGCAATCCTCAGTTGCACTAAGGGAAACGTAGGTAAGGGAGGAATATGACCAACAGACCATCAGATTTTTCAATATGACAATTTGTCCAATTATGACAATTATGGTTCATAAGTCAATTACAAGGGGCTGTTATTTCTCTATTCAGATACGACAGGAATGCACATACTTCACTACTATATACTGAAGGTTGATTCATATCACAATCAATATACTTTTCATGTATAAAAAGGGGCTTGTATCATGCTGCTGTTTATCTGGTTTGGCACACTTGATTATCAATATTACCCTGATTACATGCAATAAAACGTATACATTGCACACCATTAAAGTTACTTCTCATGTAAATCCATGTGGAACTAAAAACTAATAATATATTTGTTATTTCAGTTGTTTCATTTTGACGCTAAAAATGGTGAGACACACAGGAATTTACATGCAGAAATGTGCATCCAATATATTTCCAAAATGTTTCGGGTCAAGAGGGATGTACAAAAATTTCAATTGGAGCAATTTTTTTAGAAGAATCATGATGTTATTGTATGTAATCTTAAAGAAATACCATTACACCATGTTTTCACTTCACAGGACCCAACACATCATGTAAGGACCTTTAAAGGTAGTTATTAGGGGTCCAGAAGATCTCTAGTTTTGGACCTCAGTGTAAAAATTAAGTTCAAAGAATTACAAACCTCTAAAGGTTTGGGACCTTGAGTAAATATGTTAGCAAAGGAAAAGACCTTGCGAATCTTGGAATAATGAAGTTATGCACCATTCATGTATATAATCCAAAGGATTTATATGCAGAGCACCAATGACATGTTTCTTGAACAGGTTTTAAAATAATATGACATCTATATGCCCCCAAGACAGACATATTTGATCTCAAGATAATCATCAATTCCGTATTTGCTGCCCTCTCTGCCAAGCCCTGACTCCTTCACTCCACCAAATGGCGCCTCTGGGGCATTGATGAGACCATCATTTACTCCACAGAGGCCAACCTCCAACTTCTCTGCCACCCGCCATATCTGGCTAAAGTTTTGTGAGTAGAAATATCCTGAAAGATTACATGACAAGTCATGCTTCTTATATGTTGAGATATATTAACCTTTTGAAAGTCACAAAAAACAAACCTAGCACCAGTTAGCTACACGTTTTCAGTGATGAAAAGTGTCATGTAAAACTTTTATTGAAAGTTAAAGATAAAATGAAAAGATACTTTGAAGAAATCAACGCTTAGTTTCTAAATCTTAACCAAATATGTGCTTTCTGGGAATAGAATAACACAATAATCATTTCTCTCCTCAACTTTTAAGGAAACTAAATTTTCAAATCGTATGAGTTTCAAGACTTAAGTTTCCATTTTGGCGACATGCATCAACGTAGAGTGTCAACACAAACAGAACAACAGTTTCATTATCCTTCACCAAAGTTTCAGTTATCTCAATTAAGTTTTAACTCACACAATAATAGTAAAATGTGTTCAAATCATTTGAAACTTTTGTGCCAAGTTATAGACTGTATCAGTTTCATGCTTCAAGAAGAGAACAATAGTCTAACCAGCTCAGCAAGACACCATCTTTGTAATGATTTGTGAAAAGGGTTCTGCAAGGGACAGCAATGTTAACTGAAAGAGTGAGTGAGTTTAGTTTTACGCCGCACTCAGCAATATTCCAGCTATATGGCGGCGGTCTGTAAATAATCGAGTCTGGACTAGACAATCCAGTGATCAACAGCATGAGCATCGATCTGTGCAATTGGGAACCGATGACACGTGTCAGCCAAGTCAGCGAGCCTGACCACCCGATCCCGTTAGTCGCCTCTTACGACAAGCATGGGTTACTGAAGGCTCATTCTAACCCGGATCTTCACGTGTGATAACTGAAAGAATCTATTCCACATTAAATCATAAAGTATAGGGATATTTACGTCATCGTCATTATATGATACATTGATGAATCTCTCAGCAATACTCTGACTGTTGTATTTGAGTTAAAGAACTGAACTGCCTAGAGAACAGAAGTGTTGCCTTACCTGCCAAGCCAGAATTTGACGTGTTTGCCATGGCAACTGCCTCCTCCTCTGTCTTGAACCTGCAAATCATTTAACTGTAGTTTATTTTTGTCATGACAAAAGATATTGACTAAGATGAAAGGATCTTGTGTTGTTTAACGTCTTTGAGTAGATTTGTCAACAGATGGCCGTTACAACAAGAGTATCGCAATGCCACGATATTACATTAAGTTGGTGAGGTATGTCCAGCTGGTATTTGAATACACATATGTAAGAAATGGTTAAGGCCTATGATGCCGAGTACATATTTACTTGATAACTGGAGCAACTGGTCCAAATATTTCCTCTTTAGCACATCTCATTTCCACAGTGACATTGGTGAGAAGAGTCGGCTCGAAGAAGTTATCTCCCTTGTCTGATCGCTTGCCTCCATATACCAGCCCTGCGCCTAGTCTCTTGGCATCCTCCACTATGCTTTCTACCTGTCAACAAGTGGTCTATCTGTTAATAGAATGTCATACCTCTGTATCACATGGAAACTGAGTTTCTAAGCAAGTGTAGGGGTGTGCACTCACACGTTTTACTGATGCCCAAGGCGAAATACTCATAATGAAAAATAGTTCATTCTGACAACCCATCAGGCCATGGCTGAAATATTTCCTATGTGAAGTTAAATTTTGAACTCATGAACCCCGAGAACTTACCAAATACCTGTCTGTGTGTTTAGTCATTGTTGTTTATCAACTTTCTTTTCGATGCCAAAGGTCAATGTCAAACACTATTGCTTAACAATGGTTTAAGAATCTACAACATGAAGAAGTTGTCATCCATAAAATATCCTGCCTTGAGAGTTATTTTCACTTCTATCAAACACACAGTTTCCCATAACAGAATAATCTTTTTGCCGTAGAACACCTTACCTTGTCCACAGCCTTGCTGTTGATGAGAGGTCCCTGAGTAGTGCCGTCGTCAAGGCCGTCCCCGACCTTCAGTTCTTGCTTCATGACTTCAGCAAGGCGTGCAACATATTGGTCATACACTCCTTCCTGAACCAACATTCTGTTGGCACACACACACGTCTGTGGAAAACAGGAGACAGTGATCAATTGTGCTGTTCACCTGATGGAAACTGAATGTTTGATTCACTGTTCGTGTCAAGAACTGATGCATGCTCGTGTGCACAGGTGGCCAAATCCACCAGTTACATTTGTTTAGCTGTCCTGTTGCAACTACATTGTATTTTCATAGTAATAGGAGTAATAATCCATGCATCCTTGCTGCTTTGAAAATGAAAGTTGGATTCAATATTTTCGAAATATCATGAGTAATAAATATGAATACTGAATCATATTGTTACAATCTATGGTACTACTAATCACTCTGCTAATAATACGGACATTCATACGGAAGCTGAACACGGTCACGGGATTGCTGTTAGCGCATCCAACTAAAAAGACGAGCAAATGTCAGTAATTGAGGAGCGGGTGAGTCTTTAGTCCAGATTTAAAGGCAGTCAAGGAAAGAGCGCATCTGGTGCGAAGGGGAAGAGGGTCCCATAGCACAGCAACAGAGTGTTTGAAGGATCTGGCACCAAATGTCCTTTTCCAGTTGTAGAGAGGTACAGAAAGCAGGAGTCTGTCAACTGAACGAAGGTTTCTGGGAATATTACAGGGTTGGGTGTTTAACAAAATACAAAACAAACAAAAACCATTGATGGCCTTACTTGTCCACTACATCGAAACCTGCTGACCATGGTACCTCTGACCGCTGCCTCAATATCGGCACTGTCGAACACAATGAACGGCGCGTTGCCGCCCAGCTCCAGGGAGACTTTCTTCACTGTAGAAGCTGACTGCTGGAGGAGAATCTGTAATGGGAGACAACTCTTAGTGAAGATCTCATTAATACCATCCTTGGCAATGCAGGGTAAGACATTCGGCCAAATGTATCAGGTGGTCAGGCTCGGCGAGGTGGTTTATTACATTTTATTACACTTGCATGTTTGAGAGAGTATGGTTTACGACGAGTTTGCAATATTCCAGCAATAGCGCGGCAGGCAGCACCAGAAATGGTCTGAACACATTAATAAACAATACTTAAAAAGCATTATTACTCCGGTCAGTGGATCGGCTACAACCCAAGCTGCCCGTTAGGAGCTAGAAAGTTAATAATCATATAACAATCTCATCCCACCGGGTACCCATTCACTGCTGTGTGAACAGAGGCATATTATGAACAAAGTCACTTAGCTACGGTAATGCCACGTGTGGTCTATGAACTGCATGGCGGGGAAGGACTGAAGAGGCAAAAAAAGAAACACATGGCATCCGCCTGGAGAACTGAACCCAGGCCTTCAGCGTAACGAGCAAATATTTTAACCACTTGGCTACCCCAGTGTTCCCACAACACCATGGGTTGTTGCTGATGTTGGATTGGATTACACAGCTGGTATATTGCTGAGTTCAGTGTTAGATGACAAACAAAATTACTATACACACACATGCATAGAACTACACACATGAGTCCATATTATATCCTTGGTTTTCAATTTAACTGAGTATTTCCAATTTCAGGTAGATGTCATTATTTTCATTACCGATTACCGACAGACAAGCATTACAAAATTAGTCATTAGTCACGGATATTTGCCTTTCCAGCTATTATAGCCGTAATAAAGATCGATATAGATCCAGGTTAGGATTGGTCTTCAGCCACCCATGCTTGTCAGATAAGGTGACTGACAGGACCAGGTGGTCAGGCTTGCTGACTTGGTTGACACTTGTCATTGTATCCCTGTTGCGTAAAACGATTGTCTGGTCCAACCTCGCCATATAGCTGTAATGTTGCTGATTGCGACGTTATACAACAAACAAAGACAGTCAAACAACAAACAAACAAAGACAATCATCTACAGTTTGAGTGACAATATATTCCGACACACAGCAATCCTGGATAATGTCGTCAATATCTTTCACCAGTCAACTGTTGAATAATTCAGAACATTACTCTGACTCTCCATCCTAGCCAGCTGAATGTTTCGTCGGTCTTCATTTGAATGTATTTGTAACCACATCTGTTTAAAACAAATTCAAGCTACAGTGTAAAAGAATTTTCGTCTTGGAGCCTGTTTATTAATGCACCATCATTTAACAGAGTGAGTGAGTTGGGCTTTACGCCGCTTTTAGCAATATTCCAGCAAAGTCACGGCGGGGGACACCAGAAATGGGCTTCACACATTGTACTCATGTGGGGAATCGAACCCGGGTCTTCGGCGCGACGAGCGTTCTATCACTGGGTTACCCCATAGCGCGCTTGATCCGATTTCGCTACGCCACTGAGATCATAATTACACACGATTCTTTCGTGTATAAAACGTTTGATATGAACTGCCAAAGGAATCTTTTAGATCGGCTGTGCTCATTTATGCTAGTAAATAAAGTGTAAACATAATAATTAATGCGTATATTATTCAACATTTGCGGGTTTTTTTTTATTTGAGTACTGACACAACTGTTCCCAAATGATGGGGCAATTTGGTGACATTAGCATTCATCGTCACTGCCTATATAAGAAATTTGCTTCTGGCAGTAATTTTATTTAAAAACACAAACCACATTAGCGTTATTCCCACTGTCCAAACATACAAATTACAAATGTTTCAGGAACTTGGGTGCAGTCGACCGTATATATGCATATATCAGCGCATGTAACCATGGGAACGGTCTCAACAAGAGCAGCATGAATACAATGAAATTTAATTAATATGGAAAGCGCTGTAAAATTTTCCACGATAAAATATTTCCCGGAAAAATATTATTGTTACGGTTTGATGTCATGTGAATGTTTGTAAATACCTCTAAACTAATTAGCATAGAAGCACCCATAAACAAGGTCCAGACAAGCAAAGTTGCAAAATTGCACAGTATCCCAACGTTTCAGGGCTAATTCTTGCTCCTCCATCAACTGAATGTAGAATTAGTTCTGAAACGTCCCATAAAGAGTAAACAGAATTTGTTATCCACACAACTTGTCATGTACTGATGTTTGTCCAACTTCTAAATGCCTTTCAAGGACTTCTCTCACCTTCCCTGTTGCCGTGGAGCCTGTGAACGATATCTTCTTGATGATGGGGCTGGTGCACAGTGTGTTGCCAACAGAGGGCGCATTGTCCCGTGAACTGGTCACCACATTCAACACTCCGTCCGGAAGTCCTGCCTCCTTCGCCAGCTGGGAGAAGGAGAGAGGCTACTGAATAATTGTCATCTTATTGAATAATTTAATTGCTGCAACTTTTTACATGGTAGAGATAATGAACTATTAAGAGGTTAGATTCTGTGTCAAAACGTTTTGATACTACCATCGCGAACATGGCACAAAGGATCATTTTCAGAGGAATGTAGTGTAGGGCTTTCATTAGTTGAACTTACTTAACCAAACAATACCGGACTTAGGTTTCAAATAGAGGCCAACGTCTGAATATCAACATTTTCTTGCTACTGTGAGCATCTCCTTTTTTGTAAATCAAGTTGCAGTTTATATTAACCTGTAACGTATTACGATAGTGAAGGCATTGAAAATTGTTCAACATGAATATCTTCACATTCGTATTTACTTTGCTCTAATGTGACGTTTGTAAGTTGTGTGGAAGAGGGGATTCAGTTGGACGGAATTACAGTTGAAAAATGACAAAATGAAATATGACAAGAATGTGCACTCAAAGTAAGTTCAAACATCAACAAACGGAACAATCTGTTCAGAGCGCTCCTCCGTATTTTCCCGGGAGAACAGAAAGTGTCCTTGTTACCCGCTACTAACCTGACACATGGCCAGAGCTGAGAACGGGGTGTCTTCTGCTGGTTTCAAGACAACGGAACAGCCGGCAGCAATGGCCGCACATGCCTTCCTTGTGAGCATTGCACTGGGGAAGTTCCACTAGAACACAAATATATTCAATGCCGAGCTGTGTATTGTTAGCATTCGTCAATTCAGAAACTGTTTTATGAAGTTAAGATTTTGGGGTTTACAGATCATTGTTATTAATCTCAATAAGAACAAATCACAGGGATAGCTTCCACTATGCATACATCTGAAGACTTTAGATTACACGTCATGTCAGAAAAACCTTTAATCTGACCAATCAGATTCGCACATGAGATACCAAAAGTGAAAGTACTGCCACACAAGTTTGCCCATCTATAAGACATTCCAGAATGCGTTTACACTTCAAAGTGTCCAGTTTTCAAATTAACTGAAAAATTTTGACAAATTAACAGAAAACAATTACAAATTTTTTTTCAAAGAGTAGTCTGAAACAAAAATCGTCATTTTGAAACAAGTGTCATTAAGTAAAAGAACGCTGTTTTCTGATTGGCAAATCTCAACCTGCCGTTAGTCAATCAAGGCGGCGGTGGCCAAATGGTTAAAGCGTTCGCTCGTCACGCCGAAGAACCGGGTTCGATTCACCACATGGGTAGTGTGTGAAGCCTATTTCTGGTGTCCCCCGCCGCGAGTGTGCTGGAATATTGCTAAAAGCGGCGTAAACTCCACTCCACTCACTCACTCACTCAAGATTCGCGAAAGGATATTCTGACTTGAGGCAACAGACCCAGGGAACCAGGCTGAAATAGGACGTCCACATATACTTTGTGTGAAATAAGTTCATTTGTGGGTTCAAATCCATCATACGCTAGCTCTTTGGTTTCAAGAAAGACCTTAGTTGTGGATCACACCATGCTCACTCATATGAGACAATCTTGGTAGAATCCACTGTCATGTCTGACTTACAGGAGTGATCATGCCGGCAACACCAATGGGTTGTTTCAAGACCAGCATCCTCTTGCTGGCAGCTGTTGATGGAATGACGTCACCATACACGCGCCGGGCTTCCTCCGAATACCACTCGATAAACTCACCAGCGTTGTTGATCTCAAACAAGGCGTCTTTCAAAGGTTTGCCCTGTAGAATAGGAACTATTAAAGGTATTTTGATACTGGCAGTATCATTGATCATTGCAGAATTTATTATCAAAGACAATACTTTCACCTGATACCTTTAACTGTACATGTGAACATCATAGGTCAGAGATCCTGCATTCAGGGAAAGAATTGTTTTTCAATGGTGCCACTGGGCATTCATAAAGATGTAAAGGTGTACCCTTTAATTGCTATTCAAGTGTACCGACAAGAATAATTGTTTTGGAACATCTTTGGACTTGGTGTATACTTCTTGATCGAGTAATAATCTGTTGAAATTTAAAATGTTTACCGCTTTCTTGTTTAAAAGACTAAAACTTTTTTCAAAGTCTGAATCCGCAGGTTTAATTCACCCACCTACTGTAATAAGTGTGCTTGAATGTTCTTTTTACACTTTATCACATCTGGTTTCCAATTAAAACATTACAAGGTATATTTGTATAAAATCAGCACTAGGCACATATTACCTATGCCATTATGATGTCAATCATGCCACAGTCAAACTTACTGGTATATAAGTAGTTTTTAAACGCTGACTTTGTTTAAATTTGGAAGATATTTTCGGCTCTTAAGTTGTCAATGCCCCAAGCTCCATGTATTATCCACACATTCTGCACACCGGTGTGTCATATCCAACAAAGCATCCAAAGGAGTTATATTTGCTCACGTTTTCAGTGGTCAGTAGTTTAGCCAACTCCAGCTTGTTCTGATTGGTCAGATCAAACCACTTCCTGAGAATCAAGCTCCGTTCCTGCAAAATATATTCCAAAGTAAAGTTTCGGTAACATATATTGAGTCTGTTATCTTCTCCAAATCGAGAAATATGTTCTTACAAGCAGAAACCATGTGAAAACTGCCAAATACTTAGAAAACTTGACCAATTTAACCCACAGGCAGATATGAATGATTTCAGGATATTTTTCTTTACCATCTGCACATGGTACCTACCTTTGCTGTGGTCTCCCTCCACCTGAGGAATGCAGCATTAGCTTTCTCTATGGCCTGTTGTGTGTCATCTGCATTCATGTCAGGGACAGAACCAATCGTCTTGCCTGTTGACGGGTTGGTGACTGGAGGGAAACAGGGGGTGGAATATTAGAGAGACATCGGTGATGCCTGTTTTCATGTTTATGAAGTTCTTGAAATCCACCGACATCGGTGTTTTGTGGACAAATCAAAAATTGTAATTGGACAAAAGTCAGGTTCAAGCCCACAATCACAGGATCCTTTCATGTCTTTAAAGGGATGAAGCTCTGCAACTTGCTGTCTCAAAGTCAACATTTCATGGACAAGAGGAAATGTCAATTACAGGTTATAGACAATCAGCAATAGTATCATGAAAGCATTGCACTGAGTATTGTGAGGACGTTTGTCCTTACCAGTCCCTTTTGAAGTATTATGTTATACTTTTGTGTACCTAACAAAAGGTATTTCTTCACCTACATTCCACAAAATCACATTGGGTTAAGGACTTGCTTGTGTTCAAAGGTTAGATAAACACTTCCTGAAAAAATTTAAATGTATTGATGTGCTTCTAGATAAACGAATAACAAGACCAAAGCCAACTTTTTATTCACATTAACACATCTGATTAATATTTTTCCAACACATTTTGCTAAATTCTTGAATAATAGACATCTGAGGGGGAAGGGGGGAAGGATCACTGCAACGCCTTGTCCTTTACTATTACCAACGATAACTTGATAAGAATGATCTTACTTTGGTACACCGAGCCTGACTTAGCTGTGACCCACTGCCCATCAACAAAAGCCTTGTCAAAGAGGAAACTGCTGACGCTGCGGACGCCCGATGCTTTAGGAGGGACTGCATCTTTGTTTGTGATGTGAAATACACGGAGCTGGGAAAGTTTCAGTTGTCGGGACAATATTTGGACCGATCGGGAACACATGCAACAAACCTGAAAAATTGAAAAAGTTTAGGATTGAAACCGTTCTGGATTGTATTTGGGTCACAGGAGCATGTGACCCAGTCAGGTTTAACTCCACTTTTAACAGTATTCCCGATCTATCACGGCACGTCTGCTTCATATGAACCCGTGAAGTTGCGGGTTAGAACTGGTCTACAGCAACCCATGCTTGTCGTAAGAGGCAACTAATGGGATCGGGTGGTCAGGTATGATGTCTACTTGACATCGGAGGAAGCGGAAAGTGATATGCAGGTCTCAGATGTTTAGCACGTGACATGCACGAGCTCAGGTCTGGTGCTGACAAACCTAGAAACATAATCAGGGCGAACTGGGATTCAAACCTAAGAACATAGGTTTCTGGCATGTCCAAGGGACACAACTCTGCACAGTGAATTGCAGCGCTTCAGATCACAGGGTCCCTGTGGCCTTGAGTCATATGTGTGTGTCTTAGACATATCAGGGGTGGTAGGGTAGCCTAGTGATTAAAGCGTTCGCTCGTCACGTCGAAGACCCGGGTTCGATTCCCCACATGGGCACAATCTGTGAAGCCCACTTTTGGTGTCCCCCACCGTGATATTCCTGAAATATTGCTAAAAGCGATGCAAAACACAGGCGCCTACCAATCAGATGAATCATTGACAATGGTGCTGACAAACCTAGAATGAAAATGAAACCCATGATCAAAGAATTCTCCCTATACAATGTACATACCTTGTATGTATATAAGAGCCCATTTCTGGCGTCCCCCGACGTGATACATACATACATACATACATACATACATACATACATACATACATACATACATACATACATACATACATACATACATACATACATACATACATACATACATACATACATACATACATACATACATACATACATACATACATACATACATACATACATACATACATACATACATACATACATACATACATACATACATATACATACATACATACATACATACATACATACATACATACATACATACATACATACATACATACATACATACATACATACATACATACATACATACATACATACATACATACATACATACATACATACATACATACATACATACATACTAACATTTGTATAGCGCCGATATCCAGCTCAGCTCAGCTGCTCAAAGGCGCTTTGATTTTCCCTCGTTCACTGGATGTCAATCTCAACGGCACATCGTATTGTCAATCTCAACTCCCTGGGGAGCATACAACTCTTGCAGCCACTAGGCGCACCGAGTTATTGTGGCATTCCCATCCTTACCAGGTACCCATTCACAGCTGGGTGGACTGGGACACGTTGTCACAGTACTTTGTCCAAGTTTACTGCACGTTGCTGTAACCCGCAACTGGGTGTTTGCACGTATTCATGTGGCCACCATCTGGTCATATACCAACGGATTCGTGGGTTCTTTAAAGTGCACAGGGTTGTGTACTGTACACTAGGGGTTGTGACAACACTGAAAGAGTCTGCACACAAAGTTGACTCCAAGGTTTTACACCCGGTCACAGGTGGGCTCGATCCCGTCACCTCAACCTCGCTTGATCACTAGCCTGGCGCTTTAGCCAGTTCGCCCACCGCGCCCCCATATTGCTGGAATATTGCTAAAAGCGGCGTAAAACCATGTTCATTCACTCACTCACTCACTGTATATTAGAAAGCATGTAGTACATGTATTATCATATCTCACATTGTGCACACAGATTATTGTTACAGAAATACATATGGGGATACCACCATACACTTAATGTAACTGAAATTTCAACTACTGGTTTCAGTGAGTTGAATCGTGTACAATGCAGCTCGAAGTGTGTCACACGAATGTCACTTCACCCTATCAGTGTAGGGTCGTGAGCACGGCTCCATGTGATACCGAACGAGCAACGTCTCAGTCAATCACACGCAGCCGCCGTGAGTGCACAAGAACAGTTGTGCGACACACCACCACAAGCTATTAAAAGATAGTTTCTGTGAACTACATGCAAAGATTGTACGTACCATTCTGAATCCTACACCATACACAGTTATCACGTTATCTTGTAAAACGTTGAGTGACCGTGCATTGTTCACGACTGCGGTTATAGTATACTACCGTTCCTGTCATAAATAAGTACCACTATTATAATCGCTATAATTGCAGATTCATCATAGCGTTGTGAACTTAATGGTCCAATGTCGTTACTCAAATAAAAATTTCATGTGGTTGTTTTATTTATGGATTTACCATCTACACCTGTGTTATATTATATGTGGATGGTTAAAGCTGTTGGTGAACACGTGTTGACCATTGCAAAACCTAGGTTAACCAATAACCATTGTTGACCAACATTAGCACATGTAAACTGATTTGCGCCATACGTAGATAGCCCTGAATTGTCAATATCCACAGAACCCCAGGAGTGCGGTACTTCAGTCACACCAAAAGAAGTCATCTTAAAACCAATTTTAAAGATAGTCATTCAATCATGATTATGAGCGCTTAAATGAATATAGTTAACTAATTTTGATCGTATTATGTATATATGCATTATATGCGTCAGGGAAATAAATTTAACTTCAGATTGTTCATCTAAGTACTCTAGAACCAATCACAATTTCTGCTTAAGGTTTTACGTCATATTTTGAACGTTTTTTGTCGATATTTTTAATAGAAGGTACAATTCTAGTTTTGCCATGCAATAAACTCTTTTCACTCTCTTATAGTTATGTGTTAGATTCAGCAATAGATCTGACTGTTCTGTTGCATCTTCTCTTGGCAGCCATCTTGTATACCCGAGAACATCCGGGTTAGAATTGATCTTCAGTAACCCATGCTTGTCGTAAGACTAACGGGATCGGATGGTCAGGCTCGCTGACTTGGTTGACACATGTCATCGTATCCCAATTATGTTAAAGGTCACATGCAACGTAAAACACAACTTTGCAGATTCTGACACCTTTCGGTATGGACTTACCGAAACAAATCATCAAAAATGCAAATTCAACTTATAAAGTTGAAAAATAACGCGATGAAAAAACCGCGCGAAATCGGAGTTCAAACGATTCACTAATTTTCCCCCAGCGCTTGGGGGAATTGAAGTGGTTTCAACAGCTGGGCTGCGCTCATAGCACATGCGCAGTGAAATAGGTTCGCGCAGCTTGGAAGCGGTTTGTCCGGTGAATACTCGGTGAAGGCTTTGATGTGAGCTATTTTTCTAATGTTTTGTTGATATTTCACAGGCGCGAGCTTTTTATATGTTATGACAGTAGATTACCGATTTAACTGTTTATATAATTTCATTTGTCTATTTCACCACACGTTCTTCTTACCGAGTCACTTTCTCAGTTCGATACTTAAAAGCAATGTCATTATTTAGCGTTGACAGAATTTCTAACTGTGATATAGATATGTCGTTGTCACAGACAAAACTCAATGTCTGTTTTATTGACACCTATGTGTCTGCCTGCCCGTCTGCTAATGACAATATTCAATACACAACTTCGATCACTGACCACATGCAATTTGAACTTAACACCTATCAGGCTATACACCATAAACAAAACGCATTGATTTATGGACCGAGTTCGGTCTCTGTCACGTTATGTAATTACACAGACAGGCAGGTGTGATACTTGTACACATGACATGTTATGATGTCTGTTGATTGCAAAATGTTATACACAAAAAAATGAGCATGTATTTACAAAACCCAACATCTCTAAATATACACACACAATGAGCTGTGAGGGCATCGGCAAATGAACCAGCCGTTACACTTGAGTGCACACCCACCCGGTCTGACTGGGTTCGGTATCCCGGCTGCTTCGTTTCTAGGGAAGTAAACCCAAGTACAAAATATTGCACTTTTGATTTGCGATTGTACACTTATAATTTCGTTTATATGTTTTTTCATAATCAGCAATGTATACTATATGTCATGAATAAGTGATAATTGGGTTTTAATTATGTTTGAATTTTTGGTTGCATGTGACCTTTAAGTATTCTTTCTGCGCAGTAGAATTGAGAATAATATAGTTTACTGGCGTAAGTGGAAGTAAATGGGTCACCGCTTTTTAAGCCGTCGCGATGCATGTGGGATCACGTCTCTTCGTGTTACATGAAGACGGGGCCCTGGTAGCTGTATCAGAAAACGTGACCTGGTAACAGATGTGGCGCAGTAAACATTGATGTACGACTTGCACTCTTCATCTTTGATATTGTACTATGTCCAGCCCAGTCCTGCCCTGAACTATAATATATGATATATGTTATAAATGACACTGTGTGGGGATTCGGGAACCTGCTGATACCTCCTCTGCTTAGTTGATCTGTAACATTCTCACAATTCTAAAACTTTTCCAATGGGATGATAGCCATACGTTCAAACAAACCCGTGAAGATCCGGGTGAGAATTGGTCTTCAGCAACCCATGCTTGTCGTAAGAGACTAACGGGATCGGGTGGTCAAGCTCGCTGATTTGTTTAACACATGTCATCGTATCCCAAATGCACAGATCGATGCTCGTGCAGTTGATCACCGGATTGTCTGGTCCAGATTCGATTATTTACAGACCGCAACCATATACCTGAAATATTGCTATCATACTTGCCACACGTTAGCACTTACTTATGACATGGCGATGTGAATGGTCGTTTCATCCTGAACGGATAAATGCATATATGCTTGTTTGTTTAAACATATTTTATTCAATGTTGAAAGGGATTGGGCAAACGTTATGTAACTTATTACAGCTCCCATCAGAAACATAAATAATAATCAACGGACGTAATGAAGTTTATGGAATGCTCTCTCCTCTACAACAAAATGTACAAATTCATCGTTTAAATCAAAGTTATCTGAATTTTCTATTTGGTGGAAGAAAGACAAATATACTACACACGAAGTTAAGACATTCGTGTAGTTCATTACATGCAGATCTTTTTCGTGTTAATCTATCAGAGAGTAAAGCTTGCAGTATGTGGTGATCCGGTGGAAGATCCTAACCATTTCTTTTTAAAATGTCCAAAAATGTGTCAGCTGCCGTTTTGATCTGAAGCAAGACTTTGAACTATCGAAAGTTCACTTAGACATTGATACCATTCTTTACGACAACCCTGCTCTGCCAAATACTATTAATGAGTATCTTTAGACATGTGCATAAATACATGACTTTTGGAGAATTGAGGTGCGAAATTTGGTAATAGCCAAATCTAATTTGTTACACAGGTTGTATCCGGAAATGGTTTTAGTAAAAGGTGGAAGTAAATCTATGAGGTAATCAGGAGCTTGCAACAATTTTCACTGTATAAACTATATCTTGAAGCGAAGTTAGGCTTCAAGTTCTAACATTTCAAGTTTATCACAAATAAAGTTAGGGCTATTATCCCAGACCTCAGATGCATATTCTAAAATAGGCCTATTATACATTTCATATACATACTAGAAAGGTGATGTGAAATTGGGTTTAACGCTGGCGAATATTTCGCGCATATGACGACGTGCATGCGTGCGGCTGCTTGTACTAGCCCAGACTGAAGCTGGTTTTATAGTGCTAGCCCACTGAGATACCATGCCGCAGTGAAGCATGAATACCCCACTCAGACACATTATACTGACTCCGAGCCGACCAGTCCTTGTTGTACCCATTAATGCCGAGCGCCAGGCAGGGACCAACAAGTACCATATTTTAACGTCTTTTGGTATAACGCGGTCAGGGATCGAACCCGCGACCTTCCGCTCTCCGGGCGGACGCTCTAACCACTACGCCACGGAGGCGGACTACTAGAAAGGATATATCTAGGTAATACGTACTTTAGCGTCCGTAATGAGGAAACAATTTTTTAGGCCGTTTCTATTACAGCAAATACATGATTGTATTGTCTGAAAAGATGACACCGAGGTGCTTTTGTTGATGTACACGTTCCAAATGTTCCAAAAATCAAATCAGCAACTTGTTGACATATGCCTCATACTCAATCACATTTAAATCTATTTTATGCTTCCAGACTCCTGTAGTTTCTGTTGTTAGAGGGGCGGTGGGGTAGCCTAGTGGTTAAAGCGTTGGCTCGTCACGCCGAAGACCCGGGTTCGAATCCCCACATGGGTACAATGTGTGAAGCCTATTTCTGGTGGTCCCCGCCGTGATGTTGCTGGAATATTGCTAAAAGCGGCGTAAAACCAAACTCACTCACTCTGATGTTAGATCAACGACTACAGTCCGTTTGAGTCAGAAACGGACCGATGAATTGCAAATTTTATCATTGTACAAAAGTGCCACATAAATATAAATAGTACACATGTTTATCATTTACTAATACCCAACAGCTTTCTTATATTTGAAAATTTTCCGGACTCCACCAAAACAGTTCTTTAAGAAACTATCACTATCACAGTTCACTATTTGTTACGAGGGAGGAGTGCAGAGAAAGGGACAGCCAGGTGTGCGAGAAAGGATGGAGACGGCACAGCACAGGCTAATGAAGCAATAACTTGGTGGGCACTTGTGCACGTGTTTCTCGCACACCTGGCTGTGCATACAAAACTGTGCATACAAAAATTTAAAATCTAAATTTATCAATCCTGTGTAGACACATAAGGATTTAAGCTCAGAGATTAGTGACATGTATCCAACATGCATGCACGTGCCACGTTCCGTGACGTCAGTGGGTTCGTCCTTGAGACGTGCAATACGTTGTTGCACGTGCATTCCGGGAAAGAGAAACAGAGCAAATGAATGCCACACAATACTGTCACTTTGGAAAGCTCAACCCCTGCCCTTGCGATCGTTCAAAAAATTAAACGGCTATTGAAACGCATAGCATGCCAAGGCTCACGTCTACACATTGGGATGGTCCGTGGGGGAATGTCTCAACGACAAGTGGCTGCACATTTCCACTGCCACCGGAACACCATTTCTGCACTGGTGAGACGCTACCAGAACACAAATGACGTCATCGATCGGCCACGTTCTGGACGTCCACGTGTAACAACGCCAAGACAGGACAGATGGATAAGGGTGACCCTTCTTCGCCACAGGTTTCAGACTGCAGTGATGACTGCCCGAACCATCCCAGGACTTCGCCGTATCAGCCCCAACACAGTTC